GAGTTTAAAAATTAAATATTTGTAAAGAATTCAGGGCATTTCATTTTAAACTCCAATCTTATCCATAATTAAGGATAAATTTCATGAATAAATAGTAAACAATTCTTATAAATTCAATTGTTTGTTGCCGAACTTTCAATGCTTATAAGACTCTGTTATGATATAGAAGTAGCAATTAATGTTAGAGTTTATCAATATTTAATATTGTTTCAAATATTATCGTAAGTTCTACGCGTAAAAATACCTTTTGACCCTACCGCAGCTGCAAGCTGCATATCAGCAGCGGTCGGCATCTCTGGAGTAGTGCTTATAGGTCCTAGTAAAAAGGGTCAAATGTTAATTATATCTACGAATTACATAAAATTCAACCTCGTGTCTGTATTTCTCTTAATAAATGAAATGTGACCGTTTAATATGTAAGTTCATATTTTATACAATTGCAATTTACTTGTATTTTGTAATATATTTGGAAACAAAAATCATACTTAAAACTTTTTATTTCAATTAACAATCGTATAAATATTAATAATGCATTTTTTAAGCATATCTAATAAGCAATTTATCTGCTATTTATTGAATGAAAATTTTTATCTTTATTTTTTGTAATAATTGTATAGGGAATACTATAAGGGATTGTATACAAAGGATTGTTATATCTACTATTCTATTGGATATTTTTTATAATTACAATGGAGTTAACGAAGCATAAAATTATTCAAAATTTTCATTGCAGGTAATTTAGCTTTTCAAGACCAGTTTAGATAGACACTTTCCGTTGATAAAAAGCTTAAATGGCTCGATGCAAATTATACCGCAAATTGTTGTATCTGTGCCTACCTTTAAAAGAAATTACCATTGCTTTTTCTTTTCAGACGTACAGCCGCTTTTATAACATTAATGGACTTATAAAATGGTTAAATTGCTTGTCTTAAATAAAAAAAATCGAATTCTGTTTATGCATACGAGGATTTATGTCACTGGTTTAGTTGTTATATTTTCTAGTTAAACAAAAAACAAGCAGAATATATTTGTCTATTAACTGTCACGATATCAGCTAGAATGATACTCGCCATGTTCACATTTTTATACAATATTTATTTATGATTACCAGGGAAATAATTGCTACATTTATTAAAATACAGGCGTCTAGATTCTTAGTTTTTTAATAGTTGATGCGGTTTCAGTTCGACGGTCCCATAATGAATTGGCCTATGAACAAATGAAGGATATGAAACGATTAACCAACATAAAAAAACGCACCACTCTCGTTACTCAAAGGCCTGCTAAACTAGGAAGCTCTTCATCTCGATGCGTGTTCCTTATATTTATTATACGATAAACGAACTATTTAATGCAACACAATATGTAGCGATATGTCGCGTAGAGCTAAATCAGGCCAGTTCATTATGAGACCGACTTGGTATATGACTTTACTTAGTGTTCTAATGTAAAGAAAATATCTATTAATGATTATTTAACGATTAACTAACCTGGATAGTATATAGCTTCTTTTCGTACTGCATAATTTGCTAGGGGTATCCGTAAAGTGCATATAAATTCAGCCGGTGAAGGTAGATCAGCGTCCTGGAGCGTAACAATCGCGACGGCAGAATATCTTCCGTTCACGAGTTTCAGACTATGAGAAACACCATCCAATCGCCTATGAAAAGATATTAATATAAAAAAATATGCTTATAGCATTACAAACTCACATTTTTTGAATCATGTTTTATTATTATCATTTGGAGTTTGGATCCTCATGGAACAGAAGTAGTTCTGTGTACTTCTGGTAATCTTTTTATTTAATTGCAATCTAAGATCTTGGTAACGGTCTTTGTAACTTTTTAAAATGATTCGTTTTCTTTTAATTAATTAAAAAAAACGTTATTATTATGTTCTACGTTCTCATAATTTTATGAAATCATCATCAAGCCTACATCATAACATGAAACTAATAGTATCATCTAAGGTAGTTACCACTGTTTAGTTTTTATGTAGAAATATGAAGGATATTACAAAGTTAGGAAATATAGGATATTATAAAAATATAAGAAAGTTGGCAGGTAGCCCCAGGTGGTGAAAGGGACCGGATTTAATATTTAGTTTCAGAACGTTGCCAAGTTCTTCAGAAATTTATGGTCCATTTAAAATTTTATTGTAAATCACGCCTTGTAGAATACATTCTCAAACAAAAAACTGTACTTTAAAGATACATTAGACGCCATGATTCTGTGTTAAAATAAAAATAGTACATCGAAGCTATTGCAATCAGAAGTAGAAGGCCCGTCTCTCGTTGACGAGGGCCCGGGTTCGATCCTGGCCCGGACAAGTGCCAATGTGGTTTTTCGGAATCATATGTACTTTCTAAGAATATTTAGACATCACTGATTAATACTGATTCCCAAAAGAGGGTTGATGTCAGGCAGACGGCCGGTCGTAAAAAACAATTAGCCAAAAACTATTCACAACATGTAAGGCAGACCCTGGCTATAGCCGGGAAATTGCTAGGTAGAAGAAGAAGTAAGAAAAGACGTTGGCAATTATTTTACATCCAACAATTTTATGTTTAAAAAGCGTTATCGTCAGATATATGACAACATTTCGTCAAAATACACGCGTATATTCTTATCTGAACTCAAATTACAATTGCAAATATATCGATATCGAGATTTATAATTTTGCAATAATTGTCTTCAGACATAATACTAACTATTATACAAACGCACTGCACTGCAATCTACAGTAGGCTTAATACATCAGGCACTTTGATATACACTTGGCTCGTTATGGCTACTGTTAGCCTGTTTCTAAGACTAATCAAGTTATTAAATTGAGAGCAAAAAAAGAGGAATATACTCCTCTACATTAAAATGTATAAAAAGCTTAATTTTCAAGATTTAAGGTTACATATTCATATTTTATATAAAAAAGTATTTCTTTTCGTTATTAATATATATACATACAGATATATAACCGAATTATTATAGCTTTATTAGCTTTTTTAATGGGTTGCAGTATATAACATCTCACATATAACATTTTAATAAGATGACTGCAGTTAATTTGAGTGAACCTGAGATTTCTTTCAAGTATAACTAGGATTTCGTAATCTTTATAATTATTTTAATCATACAAAATATAATACATATGAAAAAAAGTGATTATTTATTCTCCTTACCTTTCACATCGGCAAATAGTTACTTTAATATTTAGAGCGTATTCAATAGCGAAATTTATGTTGTGGTAACATATGTATCACTTTTACAATAATCATATATTATAAAACCCGATTAAAATGTTATTTACGAACAATATTCATATTGTAAACTAGAAGACCTGGCGAACTTCGTATCGCCCTATAATCAAGAAATATCTATTACATTTTTTTATTTATATTTTTGGAGTTTACCTGTAAGCCATAAATCTCCGTGTTTTGAAGTGCGACAGAATGATTGACATATTAGTTGTCAAATCTAATGTCAAAAAAAAACGTTTGTATGGGAAATAGAAAAGGGCTGCTTTTATGGTTTTCCCAGTAATGAATCAATTTTTTTTCAGCTTTTATACCTTCCCTGAACCTCCACAAACATTTCAAGACTAAGATAAGATAAATCCGTTCAGCTGTTCTCGAGATGTAGTGAGACTAAAGAACAGCAATTCATTTTTATATGTATAATATATAGATTGACAATGAAGAGATAACAAAATAGTCTACCTGCGGGTTAATTTTATTTACATTGCTTTAAAATTTTAATTACAAATTTGAATATTTGTTTTATTGTATAGTGTAATTACTTCTATCTTAACTTCGTTAAGTGATGGCAAAATAGCTTTACGATATATTTATTATATTTCTTATAAGACCCTTAGCTTTTTTCCCTTAAAACAGTGCGATTATGTTTGGCCGTTAATACCTTCTAAAAAGGTAAACGCAGAATAAATTCCCGCGTTCTTGCTTATCCGCTTCATCAAGTATTATAATCATATTCTATTTGGTTATGTTCTGAAGTGAAAATAACATGTCGTTATAGCTGAAATATTACTAAAAGTTATGGGTCGTACTGCGAGAAATTGTTTTCTTAAGTCTCAATATTTTTATAACACTTCTAGACTTATTAATTTTATTATCATTACCAAATAATTCATCTTTATTAAGTTTGAGAGATATCAGACGTTTAATGAAATTTCTAGAATAACTTTAGAAATATATTGAATTAAATAATTGTTTTCTTTTCTAAAACCTTTATTGAAATTTCAAGTGTACTGCAAGGTTTGCAAGTCTTTATTCCTTTTGAATTTTCGTGAATATTATAGTTAAATAGCTTCAAAATATAAAAAGAAGTAAAAATAGAAATCACTAATTTCTTTTACAATTATATTTTTATTCAAATATAGTTTGATGTAAAAAATAAAAAAAAAATATTTAACAATATAACAGACACTTAAAATTAACACAAGTTTTCAATAAAAAATGAAATCAATCAATGCTAAATTTCAAATAACACAATAATTCCTAAATTTCCCGTATCAAGTATTGCTACGCTATTTTGTAAACTTATCTTTCTCTCTCTCAAAAACACTAAAGGCTTAAATTATTTAAATAATTATTGAAATTAAATTATTTTGTGGTCACTGATATAGCAGAATAAATGTCCATTGAAATGTTGAGATCATAATCCGCTTAAGGTATTCTGAATAGCTATTGTGCATACGCCTTCGCCGTACTGTGCCGGACTGCCGAGGCGAGCGAAGGAATCACCACTTATATTTATAACCTCCGATCGAGACGTCCGATAATACCGTCTCTTTCTTGAATAATCTACACTCGCACGCTCGATCGAGACGTCCGATAATACCGTCTCTTTCTAGAGTAATCTACACTCGTACGCTGCTTGTTAGCATCTTAAAAGGTATAAATATTCGTTTTATCTGCAATAAAATTCATTCCAGTTTCAACCTCACTCGTAGTTTCATTAATCTCTGCACCATAACCGCTACATCTGGTGACCCCGACCAAGAAGCTGAACTCGAAGGAAACATTATGGAAGAAAAAAAAGCAAGAAGAAATTATCAGCGGCGAAAATATAAGCGCAATCTCTGTACAGTCAAGACTACTACCGTTTTGGCGCGAATATCCCAGAGCCTGGTTTATTCAATTCGAAGCCGTCGTCGACCCGCTTAAGACATCCGATGACCAAAAGTTTCGCTACGTTCTGCAACAACTTCAATCAAGCGACCTCCAACATCTCACTGATATTTTATATCAGCCACCCGCCGTTGATAAATACCAAGCAGTGAAGACACGACTACTTGCCGCCTACGAAAAATCCGACGTCAAGAATTTTCAAAAACTCATCAGTGGTCTGGAACTCGGAGACCAGAAACCTTCGCAACTCTTAAGAAAAATGCGAGAATTGAGTAGCGGCATGGTAACAGATGAAGGACTTAGAATCGAATGGTTGAATCAACTGCCCACTCAAGTCCGTGTCGTACTATCGGTGAACACGGAGGCTGCTTTAGACACACTCGCCGCGATGGCCGACAAAATGTTAGAGTACACTGAACGTCCCAACATCTCCGCAGTGTCATCTTCGAGCGCAACAACCTCTTCTACACAATATGAAGCATTAGCGAAGCAAATCGAAAAACTTACCCTCGAAGTTGCTGAACTACGACGTGGTCGTGCTCCGTATCGCCAATATCGCCGTCCCTTTCACTCACGCTCACGCTCGCATTCGAGATTACGCAAGACCTCAAAAGTAAAGCCGGGAGATGCTACATGGGAATGCAAGTATCACTTCCGATTCGGTGATAAAGCGAAGCGCTGCGTTTCTCCGTGTTGCAGAAGAAATAAGAAGTCGGAAAACTAATGCCGACACCGACTGTGGCGGACGTCGGTGTCAACAGCACCAGTAAACGCCTTTGTGTACACGATCGCGACTCTCATGAACGTTTCCTCGTGGACACAGGCGCAGACATATCTGTATTGGCCGCCACTCACAAGAAAAGCACCAAGTCTTCAACAACCTTTACACTATATGCAGCAAACAGTTCACCCATCAAGACGTATGGAACCAAGACCATCGATCTAAACTTAGGTCTACGTCGCAACTTTCGCTGGACATTCGTCGTCGCTGACGTGAAAACTTCAATACTAGGCGCCGACTTTCTATGTCACTTCAAACTATTGGTGGATATATATAAGAAGAAACTAATTGACAAATCCACACAACTGTCAGTTGATGCCCTGGAAACCAAAATGTTTGGCGAATCAATCCACATTGTCAGCAGCAATCAAGTTTATCATGACATTTTGAAGCACTACACTAATGTTCTGCGACCAATGTCACTGAAACGACCGCCACAACATGAAGTGGTACACTATATTGAAACAACCGGGCCACCACTCTCCTGTCGTCCGCGACCTCTTCCACCGGACAAATACAAAGCGGCCAAGGAAGAATTCAACCGTATGATGGAGATGGGAATATGCAAACCTTCAAAAAGTCCTTGGGCAAGTCCGCTTCATGTAGTCAAGAAGAAAGATGGCACACTACGTGTATGTGGAGATTATCGACGCTTAAACGCAGTCACTCTTCCCGACCGCTACCCGATACCACGCATTCAAGATTTTACTTACCAACTTCACAACAAAAAAATATTCTCCAAGCTGGATATGAAAATGGCTTACTACTCCATCCCTATTTCAAAAGAAGATGCGCAGAAAACATCCATCATTACACCCTTTGGAATGTTTGAATTCAACTGTATGACTTTTGGACTTCGAAACGCAAGTCAAACGTTTCAACGCTTCATGCACGAAGTACTGAGAGGGATAGAAGGATGCTTCTGTTTCATTGATGACATTCTCCTGTCAGCTGAGAACGAAGAAGAGCATCAAAAACTTCTTCATCAAGTTCTTCGACGATTGGACACTTATGGCGTAACATTGAACTTGGACAAATGTGAATTTGGTAAAGAAAACATAAACTTTCTAGGCTACGAAGTATCGCACGCCGGCATCAAACCTGCAATGGAACGCGTGCAAGCTATAACGAACTATCCGAAACCCGAAACAATCATCGAACTCCGCCGTTTTCTCGGAATGCTAAACTTTTACCGAGATTGTTTACCTCATCAAGCTGAACTTCAACTTGAACTCAACAAATACTTACACAACAGAAAGAAGAACGACAAAACGCCTATTCCTTGGACTGCAAAAGTAGAATCAGCCTTTGAAAATTGCCGAAAAAGCATCACGGAGGCCACCACACTCAGTCATCCTCTACCAGGCAGCTCTCTCGCTATCATGACAGACGCATCAGATCACAGCCTAGGCGCTGTTCTCAATCGGAAAGTCGAAAAACACTGGAAGCCATTGGCATTTTTCTCTAAAACGATGAGTGCTACTCAGCGTCGCTACAGTGTGTACGATCGCGAATTATTGGCGATCTACGCAGCTGTAAAACATTTTCGTCGCTTAATCGAAGGCTGCGATGTAACTGTGTATACAGATCACAAACCGCTCGCTTACGCACTAACAAGATCAGCAAGTTCGACCGACACACCGAGACGTGAACGTCAACTTAATTTTATAAGTCAATTCTGTTCGAGCATTAAGTATATCAAAGGAGAAGAAAATCCAGTTGCCGACGCATTATCACGGCTATATGAAATCGACTGCCCCACGACTATCGACTACGAACAACTTAGCGCGGACCAGCACATAGATGAAGAATTGAAATTATTGAAGAAACAACCCAATCTGAAATTTCGAGAAACACGAGAAACAACCCAATCTGAAATTTCGAGAAACACGACAGTCAGTACTTCAGGAGCAACGAATACGGTGAGAGGAGTTTCATCGAAGCGCACAGTTCCAGAACAGCCTTATACAACAAGAAGTGGTCGCATTGTTAAGAAAACTGTACGCTTCTCTTGAGGGGGAGTGATGTGCATACGCCTTCGCCGTACTGTGCCGGACTGCCGAGGCGAGCGAAGGAATCACCACTTATATTTATAACCTCCGATCGAGACGTCCGATAATACCGTCTCTTTCTTGAATAATCTACACTCGCACGCTCGATCGAGACGTCCGATAATACCGTCTCTTTCTAGAGTAATCTACACTCGTACGCTGCTTGTTAGCATCTTAAAAGGTATAAATATTCGTTTTATCTGCAATAAAATTCATTCCAGTTTCAACCTCACTCGTAGTTTCATTAATCTCTGCACCATAACCGCTACACTATGGTTTATGATTTTAGAAAATATAAATAGAATATATTTTAAATAGTAGAAAATGTTTTATTAAGTTTATTGTAACAATTACGATATTTAAAGATTTCGTATAATTATGTTAAGCTGAAGTGAGTACGACGTCAGAAATTGTGTTTAAAGAAAATGGGTAAATATTATATCCGTGTAGGTTTGTCTACAGCGTTCCTTTTATTATAATTTTAATATCAAACCAGGACTATTTTTAGTCTTAATACGTAATAAATTAACTTAAGATCCCTCATTAATCATTAAAAAAATACTTTAAAATTCAAAATAGAATACTATGCTTAAGCATGACTGTATTATATAGAAAAAAAATCAAATTATATCATCCAAAGTGTTATTTGAAACAGCCAAGTATTACTATTATTTAGAATACTTTTGAATATATTTTGTAGATAAGTATATCAAAATTTGAAATAGAGAACCCTTCATAATTTAATATATACCAGGGAACTGTTTTGAGGTTAATTAGCCTGTCCTGATAAACGTGTCGGTACACACCGTTGCGGGAAAATTATTTAAGTGTCATCTACAAATGTTGCATCTAAATAATAACGGTTTGTACCTAGCTCACAGAAATATATTGTGATAATATATATATTGTTGCAACTGAAACTACTAAGAAAATGTAAGATACAACATATTACCTGTGTTAACAATTTATATAATCATCTAGGCTAACTCTGATGACAATAGTGTTGTTATTCTTATTATCAACCAAGACGAACTAGAAGTAGTTAGTTATAATTGAAAAAATCTTTGTGGCCTATTCAGTATTTTTTAGGAAAAAGAGAGTGAATTGACATCTGATAAAATATCCTCACTATTCGATGTATAGATTAATATTTATTATCCATTTATAGCAAAAAAATTAGGAAGCATACCTTTCTGGTGTGGCAAGAGAAAGGTTTGGCGCAGGGAAGGCTCCCTCCGCCACACAGATGACATTAACTGTGTCGTCATCGGTCTTGTTCTGGATCAGACGGAAATTCGTCTCCGGTACTGAAATTTACGAAACGGTACAATTTACGAAAAATAAATACGATAAACATTATCGAATTATAAATAAGTATTTAATACACTATTTTTATATTACATCTGTACTATAGGTTTACAACACCGAATTGTGTTTTTGTTTATTGCGACAAAGCGACATGATTAAAATTATAATGAAGTATGTAAAAATAATATGCCATTTTTGAATAATGGAAAATATTACTTTGGAGCGAACATCATAAATATGAAATGTTAAGAAATTCAGGGCTAGTTTTATTTTCGATCAAGAGCGTTCATATCCGTTCAATTAAAATAAATAATACTTTTTTATTGAATTTCGTTGTTATTTATTTACTAACATTTACCATAAAATCAAAAAGAAGTTTATATGTAGTTATTAAAGAATAATAAAATAGCTAGACTAACTCTTACTAATTAGTTACTTTTAAGGATTAAAACATCGCTTGCCAAAGTAGCTAAACAAAGTTATGCAATTTAAAAACAATTTCATGGCATTACGTGTATTTTGTTTCGTCGCTTTTATAAATTTTCATTAGAATATCTAATTACGATAGAGAATTTTTCAGTTATAAAATTAATAACTGAAAATGTCTTACAATTATATTACTTAGGTAAATAAAAACGAATTTAAAGATTAGGAAAAACAAATGAGGGTAAAATTACTTCAATTAAAAGTGATAAAGTAACCGCTTTATCTATTTTCCCATTCATCAAAATTGAAATAGCTCACAATATTTTTACAAATGTTGCAATCAATATATGAAATATTTTATCGCATATACGTGAGTTACTACCCATTCTTTCCGTTTTACCTTTTCCCTTAAAAATATGTACATAAATTCTTGGACTGTCACAAAGTTTTTGAAAGCAACGTCCAACATAAACAATATACACTGACATTCTTTATGTGGTGCTATAAATTGACAATACACGAGATATTTAACAAAACGAGAATTGTTTTAAAATCTTAGGTCCCATGCTTTTCTAAGAAAAAATTGTATATACTTCCTTCAATAATAAAAGTCAGATACAGTCAGATATCTTAAAATTTCACATACAATATTTTGTATATTCTTTTATACTCTGTGTTAAAATATACTCTGTGTTTTAAGAAATCCGATATTGCGTTTTTTTATATATATAGATATTGTGAACTTCCTTCTATTTATATACGTAAAATGTAATCCACTTAATCTTTTAAAAACATTGTGCTTAAGTTTAGTTTTTCAAAATTACACCACTACTCGTTCGTAGTGCAGTTGAACAGCACCTCACAAAATATATTATATTTTAAGGTAATTCCAATTGTCTGGAATTGAATTGTGCTGGTCCTTCTATTACTTTCAAGATCAACTAATGGGGAACTGAACTAAGATAATGAACTAAGTTATGAAAAATATTTTTTAACACTAAGTTGAAAAATGTACCTTTTTTAAAGTAATTGTATAAAGATAGGAGCAGAAGCTCTAAAGTTCTTGATATAACACTTATGCGATAATAACACGTAAGAGAAGAAAAAATGTAATACCAGTGAGATGTATTATAGCCGGGACTCGGAGATTTGTGACAATTTAGAGAGACTTAGCTATTAGCAAATTAATCAAAAACCTTTAAATACTCTCAAAAAGCGTAAAATGTCAGTCAGATGACTTTACCACACAAAAACCATTCAGACTCTGCTGAGGATAGTAGCTCGAAGCCAGTTTTTATTTCTATAATATTACTAAAGTTAACTAAAAGGGTCCAATCGATATATCGCAATTTTGTAATAATAAACTTTTATTGGTTAAAAGATTACACCACTACAAAACAAATAACAAAAACAAAATAAAAACAAAGTAACACTTATCCCATGCATATGACGGCGCATCCGTCAAAAATCATACGTCAGGTTGACTTTTAGCTGTCTGAGGTTAGCCTAGTGAAGCGTCATTGTCGATGGTAGCGAGGGCGGCCATCTTTATTATGGAGTATTGTGCGAGATGACGCCCGCGCACCGCGCTCGTGACGAATCGCTGTGTTTCGAAGTGATAGTGATATCTAGTGTTTCGATTGAGTGGTGTCGTATTGAATAGACTGTACTTTATCCCTTTCAAAGTATGAGTTCCCATGAAGGCCCTCCTGTTCTTATAACGCCCTCCTACATCAGAAGTGGGATCGAAAGGGCTTTAAAATGAGGAGAGTAGTGATCATCCATCTATGTTAAACTTTGTAAAAAAATAATGAGAAACTTGTCGATGAAAATAATGTCAACTTCTCAACTAACTTCGACGACGTAGTTGATCCGGTTCAATCTGGATCGTACGGAAGCAGATATAAGGGTTAGGACGTCTCGTCGTGTCTTGATCGTAAAAGGTACCGGTAATTGAGGCTCGCCGGTGAAGGAGATATCTGTGTGACCATGGGCCGAGCCGAGGGGAGTTGACGACGTCATCTGGTGAGACTGTTCCTTTTCTTTTTAGTAGTGGGTGTACTTGTTCATGTAGTACTAATGTGTGTCTGTATCTGAAAATTTTTCAAATAAATTTCTGTGTACTTTGAGCAATGAAGTAGTTCCCCTGAAAGGCATCTGAACGCGTAGTATACGGTCGAAGCGAACGGGCGACGATATGAGTTTCACGCTTACCCACCACTTCGTAAGATTTTAATATTAGATCGTATTAGCGAATAAAGGTCATTCAACCTTGCGCTTCGGTACTGAATACTCTAGTCATACTTCGTGTACATTAACAGTCAATTATTATTAGTGTTTCTACGTCTATAGACTTATTGTAATACACAAATTTTAAGCCCGGTCATAATTCAAAATGTTTCAGTGTCTCTTTTGTTTCATATTATTAAAGAGAATATTATTTTTGAATCCGTGGTTGTTGGACGGGACCTTGTAGAGTAGGGAATTAAAGGAGAAATAAACAGTGACTACATTATTTTCTCAAAACCTGAAACGACAAAAACAGATAAGTGCTCAACCTCAGACAATCTTAACTTTTCTCGTATCAAAACTTATTTGGAAGGCGACGATAACAAAGCCCTTATCGATGTTTTTAAGAAGTATAACTCATTTTGTTATTAAGGGCACCTCTTAACTCTTTAGACCCTAATTCTTTAGACCCTAACATAGTCTAAGAGAGACCTTACAAATTATAAGAGGTTGTTCGATATAAAAAAAAAAATAAAATAAAAATGGATGCCCTCTTTGAAACAATCATTTTACACTTTATCAAGCCCCATTCTAATTGTAAAAAAAAAAACGAATGACAACTCTGACATAATGTATGTTGACTCTAGGGAGATTAACACCAATTCTTATAGTAAGCCTTTTGTTTTAGAAATTTTATACCGAACTATTTCCGCCTAGTACGATCCTTATGTCTACTCACTAAGTTAAAGGGTTTAATTAAACGGTCAGAAGTCCACGGTAATATCCGTAAATGGATAGTTCAAATACTTACCACGGAGTCTATTCTAACTATATTTGATCGCGAGCCTCCTATAGAATTACACACGAATGCCAGCGCCAACGGATACGGTACCATTTTAATTAAATGAAAGAACGGAGTTCCTCACGTTATTTCATATTTCAGTCGCCGGAAAACTGACACGGAATAAAAGTATCATTCTTATGAACTTGAGACCTCGGCA